TTAGCTGGTCTCTGTCATCCACTGGTGATTGTTGAGACTGTGTGTAGCTCAAATTTTGAGACATCTATTATAGAGTTTCTTTTGTGGCTCTGAGCACTAGCAATTTTCCTAGGATGGAGAGAGAAGGAAGAGATGAGCAGGGAAGGATGGCTCCCTAAATTAGTTCATTCAGATGCCGTAAGAAAGACCAAAATAACAGTGACTTATGCTAGAACAGATGCTGATTCCTCACCCATGTGACCATCTGGCTATATAAGGGCTGCAGCCCCAGCCCCAGGGATTCTCTGTCTCACTGCTTGGTGATGCTTATGGTGCTGCCCTGGCAGTGCGGTCCATCTCTGTTCCATGACTTGGAAGGGGGAGGAAGGAAAAAAAAAAGAGTGTGCCCTCCATCTTTAAGGACATGACCCAGAAACTGTATGTATTAGTTCCTCTGAAATCTTGTTAGCCAGAAAATGATCTCATCGCCACACTCAGCTGAAAGGGACTCTGGGATCTGTAGTCTTAGGTGAGTAGCCCCATGCCTGACTACCACAGGGGAGAACAGATGTAAGGAAATAACTGGTGGCTTCTGTGGCAACATGGCTATATGCATTTCGATGTGACTTGCATGGTAGTGCACCATAAAATTAAGATATCAAAAGAGGGCCTTTAGATTTGGCAGTGTTTTTCGTTTAGAAACATTAAACTCAGAGAGAAGAAGCTGAGCTGGCAAGATGGCTCAGCAAGGCAAGGTGCCCATTTCCAAGGCTGACGAGTTCAGCCTGAGTTCAATCCCCAGTTCAATCCCCAGGACCCACATGGTGAGGACTGACTCACACAAGTTGCCCTCTTACCTGCACACATGTGCCATGTCATGCATTTAAACTCGCAGAATAAATGGATGTAGATAATTACCAATTTAAAAAAAAGGAGTCATTTATTATGTTTTATGTGTATGACTGTTTTGCCTGCATGTATGTATGGCATCGAGTGTGTGTCTGGTACCAGAGGAGGTCAGAAGAAGGGTCAGATCTCCTGGAACTGGAATTATAGATGGTTGTGAGCCACCATGTGGTTGCTGGGCCCTGAACCTGGGTCTTCCGCAAGAGCAGCAAGTGTTCTTAACGCCGAACCATCTCTCCAGCTCTGTATTTTTTTTTTTTTAAAGAAAGGTAGGTATACTCGTTTTTCTGTTGTGATAAAACACCATGACCAAGGCAACCTATGAAAGAAGAGTCTAATTGGGCTTACAGCTCCAGGGATTTAAAGCCCCTGATGGCAGAGTGAAGGCGCAGGGGCAGGGACAGTGAGAGCTCCCACCCTGAGCTGCAGCAGGAGGCAGAGCACCCTGGGAATTGTACCAGTCCTTTGAAACTTCAAGCCTGCCTCAGGAGACAGCCCTTCTCCAACAGAGCCACACCTCCTAAGCCTTCCCCAACAGCTGCCAACTGGAGACCCAAGATTTAACTCTATGGGTCTATCAGGGCCATCCTCATTCAGCCTCCCACACTGGGGGATCTTAGTAAGACTATACAGTGACATGTCAGAGCTTGGAGCAGAACCCCAACCTTGGGCTCATTTTCTGCCACCTGTGTATATGTGTGTGGGTGCGGGTTTGTGGGCCTTGGTGGTCACTAGCTGTGGAAGCCAGGGGGACAGCCTTGGCTGTTGTTCCTCAATTGTCATCTGCCTTGGTTTTTTGTTTGTGTTTGTTTTGTTTCTGTTTTGAGACAGGCCCTCTCACTGGCCTAAAGCTCTCCAGGTAGGCTGGGTTGGTTTGCCAGTGAGCCTCGGCATCTGCCTGTCTTCACCTCCCCAGCCTTGGGGTTACAAGTGTCTACAGCCATGCCTGGCATTCCCCCCACCCCCACCTCCCCATCCTGATGACCAGACTCAGTTCTTCCTTGGTCTTCATTTGCTGCCATGTCAAGGAAACCTCCTCGAGAGGCAGCAGATAGGGCTACGATGAGTTCCACCTTTCCCGGCCTTACCTGGAGAGCTGTCCGAGGCCTGAGGGGCCTCACAGAATCTTAATGGGATCTTCTGAAAGGCATGTCCACCTTCTGCATTGAGGTCTGCAGGTCTGCTATTGAGAACATGCACACAGATTAGTCACCTCTGCCCTCTGGCCTCTCCTGCAGGTGTTCCATGCACTGTTAAAGTAATTGCCCAATACACAGGTGAATCTACCATATACCAGGACCCCTTCAGTTGCACATGACAGAAGCTTAGCTAGGTCTGCATCTTGTTCCAGGTATATGTGGATCCTGGAACTTAGCTGATGTTTTTAGAGCTCTGCGACTCTCTCACCCTTGTTCTTTTTGTAAGAGGTTGGGAGGTGTGGGGTAGACCCTGGGGTGGGGATGGAGAGGTGGTTCTGCATGCATTGCCCTTGCAGGTAACCTCAAGTTCGGTTCCCAGTACCCACTTTGTGGCTGTCAGTACTGCGCACTTCAGGGGATCTGACACCCTCTGCTGTCACACTCCGGGCACCTTCACTCGCTTGTGCAAATACCCGAACATGTACAAACCCACATCCCCCCCCACAGGCTCAAAAACAAAGTAAGTCAGGCTGGAGAGATGGTTCTTGCAGAGGACCTGAGCACAGTTTCCAGCACTCACATGGTGGCTCACAGCCATCCATTTCAGGGGATTCAACACCCCTTTAATAATAATAATAATAATAATAATAATAATAATAATAATAATAATAATAACAACAATAATAATAAATCTTTTGAAAAGAGATGGTGGGATGATGCCAGCGGTTATGGTGGGTGTAGAGTCCCTGCTGAGTACTCCCAGGTCCAGGGTACCTTGGCCCAGAGCCTGTTGGCAGTCAGGTTTGCTGTTCTGACTGAGGTAATGATTCTTGGATGATGTCTTGGGAGCATCCTTGGGTCCTAAATCTTCTGGATTGGATGTGCTTGCAGCAGCTTCAAGGTGAGGGGAGTGGCTAGCCCTCACCTACAGAGTCTGTATGGGAGGCCAAGACACGCTACAGTCTTCCTTGGAGGAGCTCCATGGTGCTTCTAAGATGGATTACAGTGGGGGATCCAGAATGGAGAAAAGGAATCAAAGGGAGCAAGCCTAGTGTCCACTCTGGAAGCCTATCACTGACCCTCTGCAGTGAGGGACAGCTGTACTCTGGGAAATGTAATTGGTCTGATCGGTAGAGGGACTGACTCCTTGATTCCCACACGTTCAACAGGCATTCACAGGTGATCCTAGGAGTAAACCCCAGTAACAAGAAGTAGCTTGAAGCATGGGAGACACCCTAAAAAGAGCCTTGAGTGTCAGGTAGAGGTAGGCCCAGTCTTGTAACTGCTGGGGAGCCATGGGAGATTCGTCAGCAGGGGAGAACATGAGTCGATTCCTGTCTTAGGTCTGGTAAGAAGGCACCTGAGAGAGTAGGTTGGGGAGGGGTGGTATGTGGGATGCATGGGGTCAGTGAGGAGGACCAGGTGGTGGCACGAGCAGCAGCGAGAAGGGGAAAGATGTGGGGTCCTCGGAGCACGGACAGATGCAGGGCTTCTTTCTGTTTTGAGACAGGGTCTCTTGTAGCCCGGGCTGACTTTGCACTCACTCATGGTGTAGCTAAGGATGCCCCCAGACTCCTGGTCTTCTGCCTCTACCCGGGAGCGCTCGGATTACAGCGTGTACCACCACACTTACCAGCTGAGCCACATCCCAGCTCCCAGGCTTTGCTTCTGTCTGGGGGTGAAAGAGGACAGAAGACATAGAAGCTGGCAGCTTTGCAGGCTTTAGCTTCCTGTGTCACATGATCAGTAGTACAGGCAGCTGCCTGCTAGGTTTTCCTGCAGGCTGCCTGTGCCCTTGTCGGGCAGGAAGTGGTGTCCCCAAGGATGCCTCCATGAATTGGAGCTGCTGACTCAGCACCCAGACAGCAAGGCTTTGAGGCCGCCAGACTTTGGGCCGGAAGCATCTGGGAAGGAAGTGGCTGCCCAGGGCTTCCCCACAGTGGACCATGGGCAGCCAGGGAAGTAGGTGGCTGGCCAGGATGCAGGGTTTGGCTGAAGAACTCCCTCTGTGCAGTTGCCTGGCATGGGGAGAGGGGGAAGGGGTGTTTGATAGGGTGGAAGGGCTGTCCCTGGATATCTGAGGCTAGATAAAATGCTTGGCTGTGGGTAGGCTTTTGCTCCATCAAGGGTAGAAAGGGATTGCTGCAGGACTGGGCTCTTTTCAGCTCTGCTCAGTGAAAATGATGCGGCCTAAGGAACTCATATGTTTGGATTTGTTTGTGTATTTATTTATTGTTTGTTTCTCCTGCAAAATGTGACCAAGGCATCCAGTCTGTCTCTGGGGGTGGTCAGGAGGACATGAAATGTTCCTAGCCTTGCCAGTCATTTTTAGGTGGGACAGATGGACATGGGTCACATGTTTGAACAGGCAATGGGAGGGACACGGGCTGTGTATGCAGCCTGCCTGGGTCAGGCACCTGGGGAAGCCAGACTGCAAGCCGAATCCAGGGAAGTCTGGGATCCTCTGGCCCAGGCCTGATCTGTTTCAGGAGATTCCACTCTTGCTCAGGTCTGACCCCGACACTAGCCCTGCTGTTGGCCTCTTTCATTCCTTCTGGGTCTTGGTTGCTTGGTACACCTGTACTAAACTAACAGATGTCACTCCCAAACTCCACAGCCTTGCATTCGGCTGCTCCTAGAACTCTGCCCTGGAGTTTCTGCACACACACCCCTAACCTAACGTGACTTAGACCAAATGTTACACATTTCCTGCCCCGGTGACCAGGGCTCAGATCCAGCTGTCCCGACTGTTGCCTTCCTCATTTCCTGCACTCTCAAATGCTGTCACCCTTACCCACACCTGCTTTGTCACGTGGCTGGCTTCTCATTTATTCCGAAGATGCTATCAAATTAGTCCTGACAATGCTGTTTCTTTATTCTAGAACCCTCTGTGGCTCTCTACCCTTTAGGGTAGAGTAGACTTTTCAAGCTGAACCCTGAGTCTGTCTAAAGCCTGCTCTTCTACTCTCCCATCAGCCAAAGTGACCTGAGGACAGCCTGGACCCCAAGCTCATCAGCCTTGCCTGGCCTCTTCCTGCTTAGATTTGGGTGGCCCTGAGGAATTAGGAGGACAGAGGACCCTCTTCCTCCTCCACAGGCAGGAGCAGCCACCTGCCACGGAGAGCCCAGCTGTCAGCTGCCCCAGAGGAAGATGCTGCGAGGATGGGGCGTCCTCAGTGTGGGTGTGTGTATGCACGCAGCTCTGGGAGTACTCTGCCTCTGCCTTACAGGTGAGGGGAGGGATCGTGGTCATGGTGTGTGGGGACACCAACTCCTTCCTGGGCTCCTGCCAGGTTGGAATCATACTGATTCTTAAAGAATAGTACTGATTTCTGTCTCTGGGCTCCATAGGCAACCTCCTTCCCTTAGCTTCTACTTTTTCATCTGTAAAGTGGGAGTTGAGCCCTGTGTACTATGATAATGCAGGTTCTGTATGATCAGTCCTCGGGACCCTGGCACATAGGGTTTCTTCTGCCCAGAACTTCTGTCCTCAGACACAGGCATGGTCCCACTTTTTATTTTGTTGTAAGCCTTTGCTAAGATGACAGCTCCTCAGCATGCTTCTTTGGCTGCTTTGTATAAATAGCCTAGTGCTCTTCCTCCCTCCCATCCCCCTGCTTCATTACATTCTTCCCAGCATTTACCTCCACTTGACATAGGGTTCCTTAACGTATTGCCTGCTGTCCCACTGCTCGGAAGGCAGGATCTCTCCTCAGGGACAGGATGGGTGCTTGTTATGTAGTCAGTGCTCAGTCACCATGATGAATAGATGAAGGTTTTTCCCACGGTGCTTGGCGAAATAAATGCCCTGTTTGGGTAGTCAGCCACCCCGTGGAGAAAACAAAGCCGAGTGTCTGGTGCCATCTAGTGGTCACCACAGGCAACACCATCTCTACCCGTGGGTATTCTGACAATTGTTGTGTTTTGTTTTGTTTTTCACAACAGAGTTCCTCCTTGTGTAGCCTTGGCTGTCCTGGACTCGATTTGTAGACCAGGCTGGCCTCGAACTCACAGAGATCCGCCTGCCTCTGCCTCCCAAGTGCTGGAACTAAAGGCGTGCTCCATCACTGCTTGCCTTCTGACTTCCTTTTTTGTTTTTTTGTTTTGTTTGTGTGTGTGTTTGCTTATTTGAGAGAGGGTCTCACTATGCATTCCTGACTGTCTTAGAACTCACAATGTGGACAGGCAGGCCTCAAACTCACAGAAATCTACCTGTCTCTGACTCCCAAGTGCTGGTATTAAAGGTGTATGCCATTACACCTGGTCTGGCTCTAACTTCTTTAGAAAGAAGGGACTTTGGGTGACTAAGTTCCATGTCCTCTTGGGGACGCCTAGGTCTAGTTGGCCAGCGTGAGAACTAGGTGGAGCCTTCATGGGTATTGAAGGCTATCCAGGGCCAGCTTCGCCCTCTAGACACCACATACTAAGAAAGAATGTGCATAGGCTTCCCAGTAAAATGCTAACCACAAAACAAAGACACTTTTCTAAGCTGCCTCTGGGTGCTGTGTTCAGTTAGCTTAATTTGAAGACTGATTGTGCTTCACCTATTTTGAGTGTGCTGGCTTCCTGTGCTGGCGCCTGGAGCACTCACCTAATCACTGTGACCACCAAACATTCCTTCCTTCTCACCGGTCAGCAATCAGCAAACATTGATAGCTCTCCTGACTGTCTCTACAGCCGCTTTTTTTTTTTTTTTTTTTAAGACAGGGTCTCACTATGTAGCCCTGGCTGGTCTAGAACTTTCTGTGTTGTCCAGGCTCAAATTTATACAGAGATCCTCCTGCCTCTGCTTCTGAATGCTGGGGTTAAAGCCTCGTGGCTGACCCCTGTGCTAACAGTCTCACGTGTCCTTTCTTCCACTGAATCACCATCACTTCTTCCAAGGACCCCTGAGGTGGCCTCCTGACTACTCTCCCTCCAACCCTTCTGCAATGGGGTCGCCCTCTATGGAGGAGCCAGGCTGAACCTCCAACCACCCAGACTCACAGCTAGCAATTAGTGCTGTCCTTAGCGACATGCCCCTGACGGCAGAAAACCCCAGGTTTCTTCCAGCATCTCCCAGAGCCCTGTTGGCCCACCCTTAGTGGGCTTTCCCATTGAGTTACCTTCTCAGAGACTCTTACTGGCCCCTGCTTCAGGGCCTTTCTACCAGCTGGTCTCTCTTCCAGCCACTTACACCGGCTCTGTGTTCCACAGAGCTCATGCCTCACCCTTATTTAAAGATACAGGTCTTCTTTTTTGTCGAGAAGTTAAGTGTGCTTGTTTAGGAAGAGAAGAAGAGGGAAAGCACCCATGAAGTTTCCTCACTCAAAGAAAATTACTAAGAATGTTGCTTGTATGCTTTTTGTAGGTACTCCTTCCTAATTATGCAAATAGTATGTATTTGTGGGAAAACACAAATGACCGGGAGAGCGCCTGCCAGGCTTGAGAGCTGACTCTTTGCTTTAGAGTCCCTGGTTGCTCGCTTGCCTGCCTGCCTTCCTTCCTTCCTTCCTTCCTTCCTTCCTTCCTTCCTTCCTTCCTCCCTCCCTCCCTCCCTCCCTCCCTTCCTTCCTTCCTTCCTTCCTTCCTAATAGTAGTTCCTCTCTACTTCCTCTTCCTCCTCCTTTCCCTCTTCTCCTCCCTCTCCCCTTCCCTCTCATTTTTTGGAACAGAGTGGACCCAAAGCTGGACAAGTGCTCTAACACTTAGCCACGTCTGCGGCCTTTTCCTCTTTCTCTCAGTCTAATCGCAAGCTGATGAACATCTGTGTTCATCACAAAGTGCCTCTGTCTTCCCTTCCGATGTGAATGAGCTCCAGGCATGACCTCGGTCTTGGTCCTTGTTGCATTCCTAATTCACATTGGCACATAGCTGCTCTCAATGAAGAGCGTAGATAGGAACTTACTTTGAGCCCCAGATGTAAGAGGAAGGGTATGTAGAGCCTAGAGGTAGCTGGAGAGGGACACCCTGAAAAAAACCCACCTTCCCTAACTGCCCTGCCCCCTCCAACTCACCCCCAGGAGCTGTGGAGGTCCAGGTCTCTGAAGACCCTGTGGTGGCCTTGGTGGACACGGATGCCACCCTACGCTGCTCCTTTTCCCCAGAGCCTGGCTTCAGTCTGGCGCAGCTCAACCTCATCTGGCAGTTGACAGACACCAAACAGCTGGTTCACAGCTTCACCGAGGGGCGGGACCAAGGCAGCGCCTATGCCAACCGCACAGCACTCTTCCCTGACTTGTTGGTGCAGGGCAACGCGTCCTTGAGGCTGCAGCGAGTCCAAGTAACCGATGAGGGCAGCTACACCTGCTTTGTGAGCATCCGGGACTTTGACAGCGCTGCTGTTAGCCTGCAGGTGGCCGGTGAGTATGGAGAAGGGCGCCCTCTGCTTCCGCTCTCCCATACTGCCCCACAGAGCTGACTCCTGCACTAACAGCCTTTTGTCCTTTCTTCCACCGTCTCCTGCACTGATGGTGTTGGTGACCCTTGCCCTATGCCACCCTCCAGCCTTCTACTCAAAGCCCAGGATGACTCTGAGCTTGTTTGCTGTGCACAGCACGCTTAGGGTGGTCTGGGTGCTGATGGCACCTCAGATGCCAGCACTCAACCTGGTGCTACAGTGGGATGTTCATGGCTCAGTCACTGTTACGACCCACAGAAGCCCCACAGATTTTTATTTTTTGGTCTTAAAGGCCACCTTAAAGGGGAGGTTATAGTTCTATCAATTGCACTTGAAGTTAGAGGAAGTTAGTTCTCTGTCTTTAGTCTCCCAAACAAGCGAGATGCTTGGTACAGTGGGACAGTGATGGGACTCAGTGTGGAGTCACTGATCGAAGGCCTTGACTCTCCAGACTCCAAGGTATAGAGATTGCCTGGAAGGACAGAGATACATGTGGTCAGCAGGAAGTCTCAGGGCAGGAGAGGGAAAGGAGCTCTTCTAGGGAAGGGCTTGTTCTTACAGGAGCCCTCGACAACCCTGTTACCCCAAGACTGAGCTCCAGGGATGGCTCTCATTAGACAAGGCCAGCCTGCTGTGAAAATCTGCGAGGAGACTCAGTCTGTCTTGAGAGAGTGAGGAGGAATGAGGCCTGGGTCGTGATGAGGGAAGACCTGTGGACCGGCTGCAGAGGCTCAGTCCTTTCATAATTCCTTGTCTGTATGATCCTCATGAAGGACACATGAAGGTCCAGTCTCTGAAGACCTGCGGTGGCCCTGGTGGACAGTGACACCACCTTATGCTGCTACTCTGCCCAACCTGGCTTCAGCCTGGCACCGTTTAACCTTACCTGGCAACCGGTAGACACTAAATAGCTGGTGTGCAGCTTCCTCTAGGGCCAGGACCAGGGCAGGCCTATCCTAGCAGCACAGTGATCTTCCCTGACTGCCATAGGGCACTGTGTTTATGAGGGTCCCCTGCATGCATGATGAGGGCAGCTTCACCTGATTTGTGAGCATCCAGGACTTTCACAGTGCTGCTGCCAGCCTGCAGGTGGCAGTTGAGTTACAGGCAGGAGCATTCCCCCCTCTTGGCCCAGTCTGCAGGCGGTCCACCCACTGTCCCCTGGCGATCCCACCATCAAAGAATGGCCCCAGGCTGACTCCTAACTCTCACCCTCATGTCCTTTCCTTCACTGTATCGCCTTGCTGACTGTCATTGATCTTTGCCCTCTGCCACCCTCCAGCCCCCTACTCGAAGCCCAGCATGACTCTGGAGTCCAACAAGGACCTGCGCCCAGGGAACATGGTGACCATCACGTGCTCCAGTTACCAGGGCTACCCTGAGGCCGAGGTGTTCTGGAAGGATGGACAGGGGTTGCCCTTGACTGGCAATGTGACAACATCCCAGATGGCCAACGAGCGGGGCTTGTTTGACGTTCACAGCGTGCTGAGGGTGGTGCTGGGTGCTAATGGCACCTACAGCTGCCTGGTGCGCAACCCGGTTTTGCAGCAAGATGCTCACGGCTCCGTCACCATCACAGGTAAGGGGAGACGGTCAGCTGAGGAAGGCTTGAGGGAGCAGCTAGCCTGGAATATCAATATAAAAATGCTCATTTTCATAGATTTCATGCATCCCAACACCTCCCCAGTGAGAAGTCTTTAAGGGACTCGTTTTCTTGAGTTGACGAATTGTTTGGAACATGATTTTCCGTGGACCACAAATTATCTTCCTGGAACCTTAGGGCGGTGGGCAGAACTCTGAGGCAGGCACAAGGCTTGCTCAGAGACACAGTGAATGAGGGTGGGCTTCCCAGCGGGCACTTCTTCAGCGTGAAGGGATTGCCTTGTCCAGCTGTGAAGCCCTGGGAGATCAGGGAGCCTCACAGGTAGATCTCACTCCTCTGGGTGCTGTCGCTGCAGCCCAGAGCGCCACCTTTGGATTAGCCAGGATTGTGTCTACTGCCTCCATGTGGTCAAATGCAGATTGAGACTCTTACATGGTGGGTGGAGGGCAGTGATCACTTAATTTCTGGTTTCCAGGTCAGCACTAGACCAAGTAGGCACCTTCAGTGCTTGGGGGTGGAAAGAGGGCTCAATGTAGACAGTCACCCTCTGTGTTTGGCCTTGACGTGTCTCTGTTCAGTCCTTTTTTTTCAGGCCTGTGTGCTAGGTCTAGCTCCCCAGGGCCTGCCTCTGGGCTGTGTGAGCTTTTCCAGGAACCTCCTACATATTTGAGATCAGGACAGCAGGTTGTCTATCACTGGTCCTCATCTGTTCTCTTTTCACAACTTCTGCCTGACACCCCCAGCCCACCCAGCTTTCTACTTCCAGCGTGCTGGCCCTTACGTGGTCTTCTCCCCTGATGAACTCACAGCCAGTGGCCCCTGTTCACGCTTGTTTTCCAGGGATAAGTCTTATTCCCCCCTACTGAGCCTGCCTTCTCTGAAGAGGGCCGGTCTGTGCCTCCTCTGAAGGAGCAGCTTCCTCAGCTCTGTGTGTTCTGAGGTACCGCCATGCTCTTGCAGAGAACACCACAGGGAAACTGTGTTTCGCTGGTGCTGCAGAGATGGCTCAGTGGTTAGGAATTGCTGCTCTGTCATGAAGACCAGAGTTTACATTGCAGCACCCATATCAGGTGGCTTGCAAGCACCTATAATTCCAACTCTAAGGGATCTGGTGCCTTCTGCTGGCCTCTGTGGGTGCACGCACACACGCGAACACACAGTAAATCTTTTCTTTTAAAAGGGAAAGCAGATTGTTTACCAGCAAGACCAGGAATGTGGAGTGAGATGGGCAGAGGTGTGGAGGCTGGCAGGCAGGACAGAGGACTCAGCCATCCTGTACCAGGTGGGCTGGGATATCTGCCGACTTGATGCTGTGAGGCAAGGGTTGGTATGTGGAAAGAACACTTGCCCATGCCAGAGAAAATTCATACCTCAGTAGGAAAGGGATCTCATTTGGGCTAGTGTTGTCAAGCACAATTCAGACGAGAGACTGAGGTCCAGTGAGAAGGGACCTCCAAGACCACAGACTAACACAGTGGCTCCAAATATTTTGCGGTCTAGGCATCACTTTGAAAATTGACAAGTGATAAAGGAAACGGCTTCTCCATGGCTTGCAGTGTTCCCAGCTTCTCTGAGCTCTCTCTGAGCTGCCCTCATCAGTTATATACATGCACTGAATCCTTTTGCCGCATTCTGCAGCCAGCAGATGAACCAGGATCTGAATCCAGCATTGGCCTCTTAGCCCAGTTTCCCCTCCTCCCTGCCGTCTGGCCTCCTGTTTTCATTGGAGCAGAGCTGGCTTACCTTGGAGCCCTTGGCCTGCATTCTGCTTCGGGCAGATCTGCCTTGTACAGCATTCTGGGATTTCGATGCTCAGGCCTCTCGCTGGTCTGCCTCCACCTGAAGGGGGTTAGTGATGTTGAGTGTGCTGTGCCAGGCCTCTCTGGAGAGGGCTTTCTAGAGCAAAAACTGGAGCTATAGGTCTGAGCCCCAGCTGACTGTGTCCTTGGCTAGGAGAATGAAGGAAGTCTGAGCATGTTTCAGGCACACTATTGGGGTGAACACAGAGAGACTTTCCCTTTGACTATTTATTTTTAAGTTTTTTATTAGCTTATATTAATTATATATCAAATAGATTCATTATGATATTTCCCATATGTCTGTAATGTGTTTTGATCATATTCACTTCTGATAACATTTCATGTCCTCATTTCATCCCTGCTGGTCCCCTTCTTCTGCCCAGCTAGTCCTCTCCTATTTTCATTACTTTAAACATTATTTGCTGTGTGTGTATGTGTAAAGGTCAGAAGACAACTTGTGGGAGTTGGTTCTCTCCTTCCATGGGCTCTGGGCTAGCACTCAGGTCATCAGTCATTTGCCAGTAGATCTTTTACCTGTGGCATCATCGTGGTACCCCCTTCCCATTTTAATGCCTCTTTATTTTTTTTTTTTTTGTGACACAATGGCTTTCATTAGGAGCACAAGGGAGGGGTTGATTATAGGAGCTTGAGCGCTTTATCAAGTGGCTATACTGTTGAAGAAAATGTCTCTCCTTCCCCTAGCCACCGTTAGCTGCTTGTAGTTCTTCAGGGAGGGGTGGAGTCCCTGGGGTATTGTTGCTGCTCTGCTCTGTCCACTGCTGCAGGAGCTCCATCTTAGAAACGTCCAGAGGTCTCTTCCAGTGCTCCAGCCTGACCTTCCAGCCGCCCACCACAGCTGTGGCCTTCTGCTCCTGGGCTGTTCTTCTTACTCCAGGCTCCAGAGCAGCAGTATGCCCACCCCACCCCATGCCCGTGGACCTGAGACTCTGCAGGGTGCAAGTGCCAGGCCTGCTGCCTGTGTACCTTATGGAGGCGGCTGCTGCCCTGGCTGCATGCTGTCTCCAGAGAGCATAAGGAATCAGCTTTGTTAGATTGGGGGGGGGGGCCTGTGTGTGGCTTTGGCTGTCCTGGATCACTTTGTAGACCAGGCTGGCTTGAACCCACAGAGATCTGCCTGCCTGCCTCCCCGAGTGCTGGGATTACAGGTGTGTTAGATTTTTCCCCCCTTCACGGCTTCACCCTGGACCCAGTGTGGCACTAGGCTGAGGGTGGTGCCTATGCTGGGGTCATTGGAGAGTGTGCTCAAAACAGCTGCTGCCCTCAACCCCAGCTTGAACTCCACAACCTCCGTCACGCTCTTGACTTGAGGTGTGGAGTGGGGAGCCTGAGGACTGCGCATGGATGTTCCCTTGGTGAGGCTCCCCTAGATCTGCATACATCCTCGAGTGACTTAGACTCTCACTCCAGGCCCCCATCTGTGTTGAGAACTAGGCACACTTTCTGAGGAGAGGCAGAGAGCGGGTACGTTGCGGGCCACATGCTCCCTCTCTACTGATGATTTCCTCGTTCGTTCGTTCATTGGCAGGATCTCTTTGTCTCAGTTGACATGACCTTGGGCTTCTTTTCTTCCCACCTTTGCTTCTGGGATCACAGGCATTGTGGGAAACCATGCCTAGTTCATATGGTGCCGGGAGTCAAACCCGGAACGTCATGTGTTCTAGGCGGGTGGTCTCCCAACTGAGCTACATCTCCGGAGTACTATAGCTTTTCTTCCTGTTCTTTCTTTTCTTTCTATTTTCTCTTTTCTTTTTCTAGCCCTTTACAAAAATAGGAGGTAATACTAGCTCATGGATTGTCAAAAACAGGCCACAGTCTGGCTCAGGGGCTGTATGTAGCTGGCTGATGTCTGACCTTCAGGATGACGTAAACCAGGTGGGACTATAACCATCAGGGAGGCCTCTAAAGAGGTGGCTCTTAAGCCAGGTGGAGGATTTGGGAGACCCTGCTAGGAAGGAACATGAGGTGACTGTGTAGAGCCTGGAAGGGATTCAGGCTCTCTGAGAAAAATGACTGAGGTGGGGTTTCCTGTGGTGACATTGGAAAAAAAGCTGGGAGACGAGAACCTGGGTCAGCTTAGAGACCTTGAGCCCCTCTTAGAGGACAGGATGATTAACCTAGGCGGTGAGGCCCTCCCGAGCTTATTCTTAGCCCCTCCCACTCCCATAGCCACAGTGGCAGGGTTTGGTCTGGTGGATGGGCCTGTGGCCATGGGAGCCTGAGTGAGCTCCATTCGTCTTGGCGGGGCACAGTGAGTCTGAGCGCCCCTTTTCACACCTTGGAACAAGAGGGTCTCATTCTTCTTTCCTCCTCTTCTAGGGCAGCCTGTGACATTCCCCCCTGAGGCTCTGTGGGTGACCGTGGGGCTCTCTGTCTGTCTTGTGGTACTGCTGGTGGCCCTGGCCTTCGTGTGCTGGAGAAAGATCAAGCAGAGCTGCGAGGAGGAGAATGCAGGTGAGTGACAGAGATTGGTGCGTGCGTGTGTGTGTGTGTGTGTGTGTGTGTGTGTGTGTGTGTGTGTGTGTGGTGGCAATGTGTACGTGATTCCAGCTCTCTGTCAGAGGAGACAGAGCTTCTCCTGATCAGAGTGGTCAGCTAGACCCGCCACCTCAGTGAGCTCTGGACTCCATGGAGAGACCCTGCCTTCATGAGTAACTTGGAGAGCGATCAAGGAAGACTCCTGACATCAGCCGTGGGCCTCTACATACATGGGCATCCACACACATGGAAACAGCCATGCACACATGCACAGACACAGCACACTCAGACATGTGCACAAGATAAATAAGTCAGTGCCTCATTCAGGTACCAGGTGAGGCCTTGCTGATCACTGGACGGTGGAAGGTGAAAGGGCAAAAGGCCACAGCAGCGCCAGTGCCAGATATCTGCAAGGGTGGAGCTGTCAGAGCCACTCACCCCTTACGAGTGTCACCTGTTTAGAAAATAAAAAATTGACTTAAAATTTATAAATTTTTCCTTAAACATTGAAGTCCTGTGCATGGGTGTTTTGCCTGCATGTACTCTGGGACTGGAATTGCAGGTGAATATTAGTTGCCCTGTGGGTGAACAGAATCGTGTTCTCTGCAAGAGCAGACAGAGCTCTGTAACTGCTGAGCCTTCTCTCCAGCCCAGAAGGCCCACTCTTGCTGTTTGATGGCAGCTAATTTCAGTGTGCATTTGGGATGGGAAACAGACATTCAAACACAGCAGTTGCTGTGTCTGTGACAGGATGGACAGGACGGGGTACACAGAGGGACCTAGGCTTTGACCTCAAGGCTAACATCCTGCGTGAATCTGTGTGAACCTGCCGTTCAGTGTGTAAGTTGGCAAGTGGGTGTCAACAAGAGTGTCACGAGTCCCGAGGGCGGTGGGTGTATCAGGCTGCAGCGTGACGAGGAATGAGTGTGTCTGTGGAAACGTGTGAAATGGAAGGTGTAAGTCTCACAGGTATGTCTGTGGGGGAGAACAGGTTTAGAGCCGTGTGAACATTTAGTGTGTGTCACTGGAAAGAGTGTGTGTCTTCCTGGGCGTGTGGAGTGTGCAGAGCCTCATGATGCCATCCTCTGCGGTGATTAGGAGCTGGTGGTGGTGACTGTAGATGGCTGTGGGTGTCCCTGTATAAACTGAGGTATGAGAGCAGACAGGCAGCGGAGGCTGGAAGGTGGCTCGGTATGAGGAAGAAGTGTGGAGAGTTCGGTTGGACTATGGGTAAGCGATCTTGTGTCATAGATGGTTAGGTGGGCTGTGTGTGTCTGGTGGAGGATGGTGGACGGCCTGAGGTGGGGTATGGAGGGACTGGGGAGATGACTGTCAGGTGGCTGCCGTGCAAGGATGAGGACTTGAGTTTGGATGCCCAGTATCCATGTGCAGCCTGGCGGGCAGCTTGCTGCTGTAACACTGGGGGTTAGGGAGAGAGAAAGCTCCCTGAAGTTCACTGGCCGTCCAGTTTAGCTGACTCAGTGAGCTCCGTGTTCAGTGAGGAACCCTGTCTCAAAAGATAAGGTGGAGACTCACTGAGGAAGACACCTGACCTGCACTCGACAGTGCGCGCACACACATAAAGTGGGTGCAGATGTGGGCAGTTGTGATGGCGTAGACTGAGTTGTGAATGAGTGGGTGTGTGGGGCGGCAGGCTGCGTGGGCAGAAAGCTGGGTAGGTGGCACCCTGGCCAGGGGAGTGTTGGGCTTCCTGCTGCAGCTCCCATTATATCCTAGGTTCAGCTCCGCTCTGGTCTCAAGCTCCAATCTTGAATCCAGGGTTCAGACCAGAAGTCAGATTTGTTCAGTCACCGGGTGTGGACGTTCAGGACTGAAAGCACTGAGACAATTTGTTCTTCACCCTTCTAGGGGCTGAGGACCAGGATGGGGATGGAGAAGGAGCCAAGACAGGTGAGTCTGGCCCTCTTACCTGAGGAGGCATCAGGGACAGGAGACAAGACTTTGTGCTCTGACGTTTGAATGAAGTACCCTCTGATGGAGGCCCCAACCAAGAGTCTCCTGCCCACCTTGACTAATCCATCAGGACTGTTCCAACTGGGGGCTTCCCAGGGCTGGGAGGAGGGTATCAGGAGAGAGGAAGTCTCTTAGAAACAAAGAGCCTTCAGCAAATAACTGTGTCAGTTTGGCCTATTTTCCCATATGTTTAAAAAAATGGGTGTGAGAATAGGTCTCTAGGTTTTTCTATGAGATAGTCTACATAGAAGACAGTACCGTGCCTGGTGTCTGGTTAAGAGCTTACAGAGGTGCCCCACTCCCCTTAGAGGCTGTGCAACGGGGGTGATGTGCTTTGCTCCCCTGGGCTTCCGTTTCTCACCTGTGAAACACCATCCTGGCCCTGTTCTCGTGGTCCCTGCGGGCTCTTCTGAGGCTCTCTCCAGAGCCTAGTGAAGTAGTTGCTTTGCAGAGGGTTGTGAGCTGAGTCAGGTCTTAGGGTGGGTCCCACAGCTGCAGGCCCAGGAGTAACGGGGCTGAGAGAGGCAGGTTTCCCCTGAGCCATGTCGGACTGTTTCAGTTGACAACAGCTCCCGCCGAACCCCCATAAAAGGAAGAGAAGGAGACTGATGCCCGGGGACTGCTATAAATCATGGCAATTAATTCTCCACCTGTTGGTGCCTGTGTGGCCGGCATGGAGATGGGCTGGGATCAGGCCTCATTTCTCACTCTCAGAGGCAGATGTTGGCAGAGGGATGGGGGAGGGAGAGAGGAAAGAAGGGGGGGAGGACGGGTTGGAGAGTCAGTCAGCCTCTAGGCCACGTGACCCAGGGCTCTGGAGGCATCTGCAACCGTGCCAGCCTCCCTTGACCCTCATTTCACCTCATTTATGGCCTGGGCTCTGTGTACTGCCATATTTCCAGCTTGTCTGGGGACGGGTCCTTGTCCCCACTCTGTAGTAATAGGAATCAGGGGAGACTCGTGAGACTTATTTAGAGGGGGGTGGAGGGGGGACTTGTGAAGTGAGGCTTGGGAGAGCTCTGGGGTTCCCTCCCTGGCACTGAGAGGGTACCGAGGCCTGCTCATCCCTGCCCGCCCTTCTGCATCCCACCCTTCCTCCCTAGGGTCCTTCTCTCATCAAATGTTCCTTCCTTTTTTTTCAGCTCTGAGGCCTCTGAAACACTCTGAAAACAAAGAAGGTAAAGATCTGTTGCCCGAAATTGAATGTGTGTCTGTGTGTCTGTGGAGGAAGCTGGGGGGTGGGGCAGCCATCATCACCTTTCTGGTGCTGATCTGTGCTTCCACCCCAGAAGAGCAGCACCCACTCAGCTCCTGGTGCTGTGGTGGAGGAACCTGGGTCCTAGCTGCTCCAACAGGACCCAAAGCCCTATGCAGGCTTACCTGCACCAGGCATTTCTACCTCTCCTGTCTGATAGTCTTAAAGTTGCAGGTAGCCTGGGGCCTGGATTCTGTCCCCTGCAACATGAAGCGCTCATCGCTGGGTCCAAGGGGTTGCTGCGGTTGCCATGGCCCCTCCAGAGGCAAGGGATGAGAAGGAGGGCAGGGAACATCTTTCTAGGGCTTGGCCAAGAATAGCTCCTGTCACTTTAGATAGATCCCATTGGGCAGAACCTTAGTCATGTGACCCATTTCTCAGGTGAGGCTGGAAGTGTAGCTTTCATCTGGGCAGTCACATTTCTGGCACATAGGTGGCTAGTCAGCACAGCAGTCGCTGTTGCTCACATCGGCAGCTTTGCTAGGAGACAGGAAATGAGAGGTCTCCTCGCTGTCGCTGGGAAGCAATGAGCACAGAAGAATGGAGCCCTGCTGGTGAGAATGCCAGCTGGGTTGCTGCACGGAGTAGCTCTGTAGGTGGAGCAGTGGGCTTCCCTGCTCCCCAGGGAGGCACTCTGGACCTAGTCTGTGTCCAATTTCCTGAGGACAGACAGAACCCAAAGGAAGGGAGAAGAGCAGGGCCACACGTGTCCAAGGCCTTCTAAACTGCTGGTGCAAGCTGGGATGTGGAGTGGGGCCAGGGCGTCAGGGTTGGATGCTCTTCAACAGGGAGGCAAAGTCAGAGAGAAGGGGTTTCCTGCAGCATTCCTCTTCAAGTCATTGGAGTGGGAAGGGGCACCCTGCCAGAGGAGGGAATTGGGCCAGGCCTTGAAGGGTGAGTCAGATGACTAAGCAGGCCAGTCGGAGCGAGTATATAGGGTGAGCAGACTCACTCTCTCGCCTGGCTTCTGTGTACATACTGGCCTCCAGTGTAGCAGTGTAAGGAAACAGACTCCTTGGCTCTACCCGTCCTGTGCACACGTTACCCTCAGGACAGGGGCTAGGGGTGCCCTCCCGACTGGATATGTGACTTCTGACGTAAACCCAGGAGGAGAACTTCTAGCCCCTAATGCGTTTTCTCCCCTTTCCCTTTCGTCCTCCCATGAAATGCAGATGATGGACAAGAAATAGCCTGACGGGGAGATGTTGCCTTCCCAGATTGGGGCCCCGCCTGTGGCTGTGTTGAGCCTCAATGTGAGCCCTGCCCCCAGTGAATGGGCTCGGCTCTGCAGGTCCACCTGTTCTTCAAAGGATGTGGTGCATAGGCCACCCACAACCTTATTTCTCTGATGGACTTAATTCCCGTCATCCCCGAAGCCTTACTTCTCCAGTGACACGATACACGAACCATCCTGCGGCCTTCTTTCTTATGGACACAACACACAGACCGTTCCGCCTCCGTGCTCCTCCAGTCGTCCGGTGGCCTTGTTTCTCCAAAGATGCCACACACGAACCTGCCTTCAGCCTCACGTCTTACGGACACACGCACACCACCCCCACCTCCTTGCTCCTCCAAAGCCAGGCGGACCGTGTGACTGCTGTTATGCTCTGAGGCATAGGCCGTTCAGCTGAACCTTACTTTTCTAAAGACAGCCGCACAGTTACTTCTTGGTCGTTTCTCCCGTGGCCCTGGCCTATCTTAGTTACCGTCCCTCGACCTCTGTTCTGACTGCCGAGGATCCCATCTCCTCAGCATCTCCCAGGTCTTCATCCTGACTCTCTTGCCCCGCTCTGACCCCGACTTTGGTTGTCTCCTCCCTGACTAGGTGAGAGGGGGACTTGCTCCCCATCTACACACACAGGTACCAGCATCCCTGCAGCTGTGCGTGCTGGAATTCACGCAGACCTGCCTTGCGAGGTCTCTTCTGGCTGCCCTGGGGTGTGTCCATTCTCCCCACAGGAAGCAGGTGCTGGTCCCCCTGCTTCTCAGGGCCCTCAGGGGGTCAGCCTTCAACCCTGTGCTTTTCCATGTTTGCAATCTTTGCTACTTTTGCTTTCTTAGTAAATTAACGATCACTTGAGCAACCACGGGGGTCATCACTGCTGGACCTTCCAGGGTCCTGCAGGAAGATCGGAGGCTCTTCCCTCTAGGCCTCACCCCAACTTGGAAATGGGTTTGCTCTCTACTGTACCCATCTGTGCCCACAACTCCTGGATACCTCACCCTCAGCCTACACTATCCCTGACCCAGGGCCCAGGGAGGGGCAGAAACCTGGAGAAAGCCCAGCCCTTGCCATACCTGGAGAGCTGGCTATTTTCCAATCTTTCTAGATGTGGACTGGAAGGCAGGTGGCCACAGCTAGTCAGACCTGAGTTGGGGCGGCAGCCTACGCCATGCTGAGACCATCTTAATAGCTGGAGCCTGGGGAGGCTGCTCCTTACCATGGTGCTATTTTGGAGCTGGGGCATATACCTGGTTTGTCTCTGGCAGCCCTGGCTCTGGCAAAGCAGAACTGCTGATGTCCCCCTGAAGGCATGTCTCCAACCCTGGTACTGAAGAAAATGAGGATAATTTAGACAGACGCTGGCCAGGTGTGGTGGTGCACACCTTTAATCCCAGTACTCAGGAGGCAGAGGCAGGCAGATCTGTGAGTTCGAGGTCAGCCTTGTCTAGAGAGTGAGTTCTAAGACAACTAGGGCTACTCAGAGACTGTCTCAAAAAAACTAAAATAAAATAAAATAAATACGGGATTCTGTAAACTCGGTGTCTTTTGGGAGAATTAAATGTCTTTGTCTTCCCGTAGCCTGTTGCCTGTGATGTCAGTGAAACAGTGGGGTGGCTTGGTGCTAGAAGGAAGGTATCTGTCCTGGGTATTTGTGCCTGGGGTAGGGTTTCCTGGCTCTCCGTGGTCCTGTGCCCCCTCAGGTTCCTGGATGCAATTTCCTTCTTAGAAAAGTGAAGTTGGTTGGGCAGAATCCGGTTCTTTTGACAGTGGCTTCTCCCACGAGTGCATGTGTCACTTGGTTTCTGTCTCAAACTCTAGCCTAGTTTAGGGCCTCCGCTAATGTCGCCGATGTATGATGGGGAAGGCCAAAGCGACTTGGGGAGGAAGGTTTATCGTGAGCCCTGTCCTTCAGGAAGTGAAGTCAGCGCAGGAACCTGGAGGCGTGAACTGGGACAGACCATGGAGGGTGCTGTTTGCTGTTTACTCCTCTAGGCTTGCTCAGCCTGCTTTCTTACACACCTCGGGACCACCTGCCCAGCGATGGCCCCACCCACAGTGGGCTGGGTCCTCCCACCTCAACCACTAATTAATAAAATGCCCCACAGGCTTGTCTACAGTCTAGTCTTATGAAGGCACTTTCTCAACTGCTCCAAACTTCTATCAAGTTGAGGAGAAAAACAACAAACAACAAAAGACCCCAAACAGGCAGAGAGGCTAGAGGGAGCAAATACTAGACAAATGGGTGTGCCTGATGTTCCTGGCTGACGCAGTGGCATGGTGAAGAGGCACAGGACCTAGCTCTGCTCTGTGACCCTGAGCAGGGCATTGACCTTTGGATCACTTCGGGTGACCTTCCACTTAGGAAATCTGAGAGGACAGTGAGCTTGGCGGACAAATTTTCAGAGAACCAGAATCAGAGATGGGGGACCTGAAAGCTATCCTGCATCCTTTTTCCTTGGGGAAAAGCTTCAGAACTCCACATTGTCAGAACATCACAAACCATGAACTGGAGGCTGATCTGGGGAGGGGTCAACGAGGGGGTAGAGGGCTTAGGTTTCTGGGCTTTACCCTGGCTCAGCATCTCATGTAACCACATCCCTCATACCTCAGAACGCTGATGGTTTCTTGATTGACTAGTGGTCAAGAGTCCTGTATGAAAAGCACGTGACATCCTTTACAAACTGGGTGGTTTGGGTCTGGGAATGTAGTTCAGTTTGCAGAGCACTTGCTGAACATGCTCAAAGCCCTGGGCTTGATCCTTGGCACCGTGTACATGGGGCATGGTGGTGCAAGTTTATATTCTTTGCACTCAGGAGTTGGAGGCAGGAAGATCAGAGTTCAAGGTCATCTGGCCTACATACTGAGTTTGAGACCAGCCTGGGCCACATGTGATCCTGTCTCAACAACTAAAACTGGAAAGTTAGTTATAAAATCAATGGCTCCGGTAACAAAAAGATTTGCCTTGCTTGATGTCTTAACATTGAGTGCTCTGGGTGGGTTTTGGACTCCAAAAGCTCTGACTCCCCCCACCCTCAGTGCCCTGTGCACCTTGTCTCCCTCCCTGAACCTCAGTCTTCACCCAGGGATGGATGACAGCATCAAAGGTTGGTTGTGAGTATCAAACAAGGCTGATGGGGAACACGCTGGGCGCTGGTGAGGGCGGAGGCTTCCCTGCTGCAGACAGCGCCACACTGTTGCTGTTCTGATGATTTTGTAGAATGCGCAGTGACCCCAGGCCAGAAGTCTGCACCTGTTTTCCCATCTGTGTAAGTGAGATTACTGGTGTCTTTTCTTCCTGTCAGGCTGAGGTGAGGATCAGACATGACAATATCCAGGGCTTGAGACCTGGCAGGTGTGGGACTGGCCTGGAAGCTGAAGGGTGAGGAGAGTGGCCACCAAGTCCCCTGATGACAAGTGCCTTGGAGAGCAGTATTTTTAGCTGCCCTTCCTGGGCAAAGCTCCAATTCCTGCATTTTAATGGAGAAATAATTCTCACAGTGCGACAAGCTGTAGCCTGCAGGTGTCACATTCATATTAAAGAGAGGACAGAGCAAGGGTTCATTTGCCTGGTTGGAGGTGTGACCGGAACTCGCCTCTAGCACCATTTGTAACCTGGTCTGTGACGACCAATTAGTGGACCTGGCCACCCAGTCGTTCATGGGGAGGGAACAGAAAGAGTAGGGATGGTATGGCTAGGGCCTAGGTCCCCCTGCCTCTCCTAATGGCTTGTTACGTAGAGTTGAATGATGACTCGGGGTAGGGTGAGGTGGGGACCCTATGGCACTTGCCTTGTTCAGTTCTAGGATGCGGAGACTGAACGAGAAGCCTGTGCCTGTGAGCCCATGAGCAGAGACCCTGTCTGATTTTTTTTTTAATGTGTGTTCATACTTCTGTGCACTCACATTTGGTGGCCCAAGGTCGACGTTTATTGTCTTCCTCCATCACTCTTGACCTTCTATGCCGAGGCAGGGTCACCCCGGAGAAGAGTTTCAGCCCACCATTTCAGCTAGTCTTTCTAGGAAGTTTGCTCCAGGGAGATTATAGGCAAGCCACCTTTCGTGAGGCTTCTGGGGATCTGAATTTAGTGTTTACTCTTGTGTGGCTCTCTACCCACTGAGCTATCTCCCCAGCCAGTAAGGCCAAGTCTTAAGCTGCACTGTGAGGCCAGTGTTGGCCTGAGAAGCCAACACTTCTCAAGGTTCTCTGTAGAGAAGCAGGAGCCAGGCTGGGTTGCCTCACCTGAGGAGGGCCGGAAGGCACCTCCGCAGAGGTGAGAACTGAGTGGTTCTCCCACTGTCCTTGTCCACTCACACGGAGGCTTTGCTTGCCGTTTCTCCAGGTCATGTATTTATTCCAATGATCGGAGAACATTACTCGCAGCATTTCCTTACTCTTTCCCAAGTCTCCTCCATCTTCCTCTTTACCTTCATCGATATTGGACACATCTAGCATTTCAGTTTTGCTGATTTTCAGTGTGTGGGTACATGGGCTTTTGCACAAGTGTCACTGTTACTTTGATCAAGATCTAGAACAATGTTGGAATCCCACAAAGTTCCCTTATGTCCTTCCTCAGGCAGCAGCCCCACCCTGGGGCACCATCTGGCTGCTTTCTGGGCAGATTAGCCGTGCTTCTTGAATTTAGTGGCTGAATACTACAGTGATGCTATTTTGTACCTAGCTTCTAGCAAAGACTTCCTTCATTCCTCGTTAAGTGGAGAGGTATCAGCTCAGAGTGCCTGTTCTAGAAAGGTCTTGTCAGTTCCTGTACTTTGGGTGTAACTGATACAGGTTTTCACACTATGAGGTTCTACAAGTAGGATTTCTAGGCTTATTTACTCTTGTTTGGGTCGTGTGGGCAGAGCAACTTGCACCCCAGACTGGCCCCAAGTTTACAATATAGGCAAGGGTGACATCACAATTTTGTTCTTGTCTCTACCTCCCAAACACTGGCATTACAGCATGCAGCACGGCGCCCACCTTGGACAGTGCTAGGAGTAGACCCAAGGGCGCCATGAATGCTGCATAAGCATTCTATCAATTGAGCTACACCTCTAGCTCTCTGAGTTCATTGGAAATGCTGGTGGATTTACCAGCTGTTTGGGCTGCCTTTTTAGCTGGGCCCATACAAAAGGGTCACTAGCAAAATATCCTAGAGAGTACAAGGAGAGTGCTGAGATTCCGTGCTCCAACTGAGCTCTCAAGGACTCAAAGGGATAAAGCCCCAGCTGAGCAGTGGCCAGGACTGTGACCACTCTTTTCTCATCCCTCTGGACTGTTTAGCATCTCCCTGGAGCTGTGTGCATTTTCTGGACTCCCGATCCTGGGCACATACATCTGCCCACCCACTGGCTGTATGGGTGCAGGCCTGTGGTTTAAGCATGCCAGGCCGAGCTCTGAGTGCAGAACTCTGGACTATAATTGATGGGAAGATGCATCAGAATCTTGGATTCCGGCGCCTTGGGGCAGGGCAGTCTTCTGCTGCACTGAATCCCAGGGCATTCGTAACCTGCCATTTGGCTCCACCAGCTCCAGGTTATTATGATGACATCATTTTATTACTAATGAGGCAGGGCTTTTTGGGAGCAGGGAAAAATCTGGGTCCCATGAGGGTAGACAGATCCCAGCCCTTAGGTTGAAAGTTTATGACCTTTGCCTCCTACCTTTTCCTAGCATCTGTGTTGCAAAATATCCCCAGCCCTCAGCTTCCCTTAGCTAATGTGATTTTTTTTTTGCTCTCCTCTGAACATGTTTCATTATTGTTCTTTCTAGATTGAGGCCCTGGCTAAGAGCATACTGTGTCCACTCATGCTAGATCAGCCTCCCTGATCCCGCACACTGTGCTCCCGGGGACAAAGCTCTGGGCCCCATTTACTCCAGTAGACTCTGGCTGCACATTAAAATCACTTAGGGAGTTTTTAATAATCCTGGTGTTTGGGCTCCCTCCCCAGAAGTTCTGATGCAATTGGTTGAGGTCATTGCTGAATATTTGATGTGTGCTCTCAGAGTTTGCAAGTTAATACAAAACAGAATTCTGAGAGAGAGAGGGAGAGAGAGAGAGAAAGAGAGAGAGAGAGAGAGAGAGAGAGAGAGAGAGAGAGAGAGCTCCTTGAGCAGAGAGCTTGGAGAGGAGGCACCAAGGCAGGCGGCTGTTCTATTGTTGCTGTAGCTGACCAAGGGATTCTCAGCTGCCAGAATATCAGAAAAGTGAAGTAAGGAAGATAGAGGAAGTGATCAAATGTGTTGTGGGACCCAGGGGAGAGTTAGTAGGAGCCCCACATTCCTGTCATCAGTCAGATCACCCAGGCCCTGGAGAGACAGGGATGCGGTGTCCTGTGTGATTGCTAAGTCTCTAGCTTTCTGATAGCAAATGGGGGTCTCCTTCCCACTTCCACCTTCTCCCTCTGTGTCTCTCTCTTGTCACCCCTCTCGCCCAGGCCTCCAGATGTGCACAGTCACACAGCTGATCCTAGCTCCCTCCTCCCTCCAGCACTGTGCGCTCAGTGTGGGGAGGAACCATCTGTCTCCCTCCTGTAAGCTACCATCAGCCTGTGAGCCTGTGCCAGACTAGAGGGGAAAC